TTGACTAAAATTATATAAATTTGGGAATTTTTTATTTTTTTAAATTAATCATAAATTAACAGTTTATAGTATATATAGTTAATAAAACAGTTTCTAATGAACTTTGGTACAAAAACTATTCAAATTTATGATTTCAGTCTAATAACTATTTAGTCAACATGTTTAATTTATGTCAATGATGACAGGTATTGATAGTTTCGAATCCCAATATCTCGAGAACCATTACTCGTAGCGATTTTTACCAAGAGACTTTTTTAACGTAAAAAACGTCGTAAATGTGTATTTTTTTACTCAGTAGTTGTATACAGGTACGGATGAAAAGTTATTACTCTTCAAACCAGTTAAAAAATATGTAGGTGGCGCCCTCTATAAGTCGGAGTAATATTGACATCAAAATCAAATTTCTCATGTCAAAAAACTCCCAGACACCAATTTTTGAGGTTACTTCAGAAATTATTTGGAAAAAATCGAAATAAAAATGAAACTTCTACACCCTGTATCTCCGAAACTAAGCATTTTAGGGCATACATTTATACAAACTTTTTTACTTATTTTTATCTGCAGAATATACTGCCGAAGTTTCCGGAATACGTACAATATACTTTTTAATATTCTTAGGGTAAAATTTATTAAGGTGTTGATTCTTTAAGAAAAAGGTAACTAAAGTCTAGACGTTACAATGTTTGTGTATAGAAACGGACTTTACTAACAAAGCTATATTATTTTACAATAGGGACTTTCGACTAATAATAATTGTGAGGTCGTTTATGACTAAGAGTTTGGTCCGGCGCCGGCGGTTTATTGCTTTTAAGGGCAATGAATGTTTTTAGGAGCTCTTTACAGTGAGAAAAACTGGTTATAGATCGTTTTAGATGTACAACAAAATTTTAACAGTGGCGTAACTTATTACAGATAAAAACTTTCCTAAAACTAATATTATAATCTAATTAATCTAGGCAGAAATACAACACTCCTAGCACCTGACTAGGAGCTTCCCCACCAACAACAAGTTCTCGCATCTCCTAGAGGAAGATTTTAAGGGTAACTTGACACCGTTTTTTTTCGATAATACACAAGACTGACAAATTGAAAAAGATACCTTTTCTTACGAATTTTATCATAATTAATAAAGTGTACCCAGCGAGCTGGAGAAGAGTTGAGAATGATGAGCAATTAAAATTATAACAATACAATTATAAACACCTCCTCTAGCTTTACTTCTTTCTCTGGTACGTTGAGTGTTTATTTTGAAAAATAATAAACAAGGGCACCTTGCCAACCATAAAAACCCATCTAAAAATAGATATTTTAATTTAAATTTCGGTTTATTTAATAGCCTCCCACTCCATATAACAACAATAATGTTACAAAATTATCTGGCGGGAAGGCAAATAAACAACTAATTAATCCTGGTTTATAAACAGTTATTAAAACAATTTGTTGATATTCCGCTAACGAATTTTAGGTATAAACTGGGACGTAAATATTTTGTAATAATCATAAAACAGGATTTATTTTTTGTTTCAATTTCTTCGGTCTTTTTTAAAGCTTCAGAATTAATATTTGTTATGTTTTTATATACAGGGTGGTCCGAACTGTATTCCGGAAACTTCGGCAGCATATTGTGCAGATAAAAATAAGTAAAAAAGTTCGTTTAAGTGTATGTCCTAAAATGCTTAGTTCTGGAGATACAGTGTGTAGAAGTTTCATTTTTATTTCGATTTTTTCCAAATAATTTCTGAAGTAACGTCAATATATGGATGGAAATTGGTGTCTGGGAGTTTTTTGACATGAGAAATTTGGATTTTGATGTCAATATGACTCCTACTGGCAGAGGGCGCCACCTACATATATGTTTTAACTGGTTGGAAGAGTAATAACTTTTCTTCTCTCTCTCTCCGTACCTGTATAAAACAACTGAGTAAAAAAATATACATTTACGCCATTTTTTAAGTAAAAAAGGTCTCAGTAAAAATCGCTACGAATAATGGTTCTCGAAATATTTGGAATCGAAATTATCAATACCTGTCATCTGTCATCATTGACATAAATTAAACATGTTGATTAAATAGTTATTAGACTGAAGTCATAAATTTGAAATAATTTTGTGTCAAAAAAGTTTAAAAGAAACTGTTTTATCATAATTTTTCGAAGAAAAATTTATGATTAATTTAAAAAAATAAACAGTACCCAAATTTATCATTTCGGTCAAATAACTATCTACTCAAGTACTCAAAATTTTTATTTTTTGTCAATAATGACATGTATTGACTACTTCCATTCTAAATATCTTGAGAACGATTGCTTGTAGCGATTTTTACCAAGAGACAATTTTTACATAAAAAATCATGGAAATGTACCTATATTTTTTCACTCAGTACAGGTACGGACGAAAAGTTACTACTCTTCACATTTAAAATACATATAGGTAGAGCCCCTACAAATAGGAGTCATATTGACATCAAAATCAAATTGCACATGAGCACATGTCAAAAAACTCCCATACACCAGTTTTCATCCAAATATTGACGTTACTTCAGAGATGATTTGGAAAAAATTGAAATAAAAATGAAACTTTGACACCCTGTATCTCCGAAACTAAGCAATTTAGGACATACATTTATACGAACTTTTTTACTTATTTTTATCTGCAGAATATACTGCTGAAGTTTCCGGAATACAGTTCGGACCACCTGGTATATTACGTTTATTTTATAATTATATTTATTGACTATTTATTCTGGTTCATATCGCGAGATCTATGATTCTAATCAACGTAACTGAAAAACCTAAAATCATGAATAGACCCAAATACCGTATGATCGAAAAAAAACGACGCGGCGCCAAAGACGGCTGTTTCCAAAAAAAAAAAATTTCTCGAATTTTAAACTACACCATTTAAGAAACATTTTTACTCAATATAAAAATAGATTACAAGCTTTTTAAGGCTAACTGGCAGGCTGTGCCATTAAGGAAAAAAGAAGAGTACAGGCCATAGAGAAATATCGGTACAGGCCAAATAAGGGCCTCTAGGGCTTGACCACGCCAAAATTACCATCGATTGTTATTCTCCAGCCGTCGCTTTGACGCCGTTTTTTTTTTATCGTATGGTCACGTATGGTTTTATAAACAAACATGAGCTTCATTTTGTACAATTTCGAAGCCATTATAAAAAGAGTAAATAGGTAAGTGATAGATTTTCTAAAAACACAAACAGAAAAATTAGAAACTCTAATAACTAAAGAGAAATTCACAAAACATTTTTAATCATTATTTAACAGAATATTGCACTTAACACAATTATTATGGTATATGCTTAGGAACTCCAATAAATAAACAAATAACATAAAATTAAGTGGAATTTCAGAATAAGAATTTTGCTTCAACCCAATAAAATTACAGAGGTAAAATACAATATCATGAAATGTCAAAAATGATACAACTTTGTATTCGATTTTTAAAATAATAGGAGTCTTGATATTTTTTTAGGATTTATATTTTGGAAGCTAAACGCCAGAAGATAGAAGTTTTTACATTTAGCAATAATGGAAAGTGTTTTTTTTTTAATTTGAATAAATGATAATTATATAAAAAAATCAGAAATAATATAGCACAAATTTGAAACATATACATATATATCTTGATTACTAACTTACCATTAATAACCGATTATATACTTACCCTTATTGTTAATAAACCTTTTTTACTCGTTTTACAGTTAAAACGGATTTCTTTTTTTTATAAAATATTTGGTGGGGTGTGAACCCCGGGAAAAGGAGGAGACTAGGATAGGATAAAAATGATCATTACAATAAAATATGAGAAAAACAATAAAATTTCCATATCAGCAAATTTCGATGGTCATTCTAATGATTATCACATATATATTATCTATCCACAATTGATTGTCAGTTGGTTAAAAATTTTAAAATTGTAAAATTATTTCATCTCCATCCTCTATCTGTGATACCTTGATCCCTTTCCCTAAATTCCTTCCTATATTTTCCTGTACGATTTTTTGTAAATTTTGTAATTTATTTCCATATCGGTATTTGTATTTGTTGTATCTTCAATTATTATTATTATTCTTTATTTGTTGTTTGAAGATACAACAAATACAAATACCGATATGGAAATAAATTACAAAATTTACAAAAAATCGTACAGGAAAATATAGGAAGGAATTTAGGGAAAGGGAACAAGGTATCACAGATAGAGGATGGAGATGAAATAATTTTACAATTTTAAAATTTTTAACCAACTGACAATCAATTGTGGATACTGTGAGATCTGAGATTCTAATCAAAAAATACCTTAAAAACTAAAAAAAATATTACTAGAGATCCTAATAATCTAATAATTACACTTGAAAAAGACTCAAATGATAATTAAAAATAAACATGAACTTGTTTTTTGATAATTTTGTCGTCGAACTAAAAAAAAATAAAATGCTTTTTTCCAAAAACACAAACAGAAAATTTAGAATCTCTAATAACTAAAGAGAAATTCACAAAATATTTCTGATCATTTTTTTAACAGAATATATTGCACTTAACACAATCATTGTGATATATGCTTAGGAACTCCAGTAAATAAAAAAAATAACATAAAATTAAGTGGAATTTCAGAATAAGAATTTTGCTTCAAACCAGTAAAATTACAGAAGTAAAATAAAATCTCATGAAATGTCAAAAATGATACAATTTTGTATTCGATTTTTACAATAATAGGAGTCTTCATATTTTTTTAGGATTTACATTTTGGAAGCTAAACGCCAGAAGATAGAAGTTTTTACATTTATCAATAATGGAAAGTGTTTTTTTTTAATTTGAATAAATGATAATTATATAAAAAAGCCAGAAATAATATAGCACAAATTTGAAACATATATCTTGATTACTAACTTACCATTAATAACTGATTATATACTTACCCTTACTGTTAATAAACCTTTTTTACTCGTTTTACAGTTAAAACGGATTTCTTTTTTTTATGAAATATTTGGTGGGGTGTGAACCCCGGGAAAAGGAGGAGACTAGGATAGGATAGAAAGGATCATTACAATAAAATATGAGAAAAACAATAAAATTTCCATATCAGCAAATTTCGATGGTCATTCTAATGATTAAAAGTTGTTTGAAGATACAACAAATACAAATACTGATATGGAAATAAATTACAAAATTTACAAAAAATCGTATAGGAAAATATAGGAAGGAATTTAGGGAAAGGGATCAAGGTATCACAGATAGAGGATGGAGATGAAATACTTTTACAATTTTAAAATTTTGAACCAACTGACAATCAATTGTGGATACTGTGAGATCTGAGATTCTAATCAAAAAATACCTTAAAAACTAAAAAAAAATATTACTAGAGATCCTAATAATTACACTTGAAAAAGACCCAAATGAAAATTAAAAATAAACATGAACTTGTTTTTTGATAATTTTGTCGTCGAACTAAAAAAAATAAAATGCTTTTTTCCAAAAACACAAACAGAAAAATTAGAATCTCTAATAACTAAAGAGAAATTCACAAAATATTTCTGATCATTTTTTTAACAGAATATATTGCACTTAACACAATCATTGTGATATATGCTTAGGAACTCCAGTAAATAAAAAAAATAACATAAAATTAAGTGGAATTTCAGAATAAGAATTTTGCTTCAACCCAATAAAATTACAGAGGTAAAATACAATATCATGAAATGTCAAAAATGATACAACTTTGTACTTCATTTTAACAAAAATATGCGTCTTAATTGACGATTTTATTAGATATATTTATATTTTGGTGGCCAAACACCATCACATCAAAGTTTGAACTGCTAGAAATTAAGATTTGTGATAGAGTCGAAAAATACATAATAATAATAGTAATACCTATTACACTAACGCTAGTTAAAGCTTTGTTTATGGCCCTAGTCGTACTACTTCGGTGCTTCGCCCCAAAAATCAGTACTGGCCCTAAAACGGGCTAAAGGCGAAGCAACGAGGTGGCCGACGAAGGCTTAAAAAAGACTGACGCTGCTTGGCCAGTAACACAATCAATCATAACTTCTAACATTTATCACACACTGATTTGAGCATTGCTCTCTTTTACAAAACTCAAATATCTTTCTTACAATTTTCTTCATTTTTTCTCTTCAACAATAAAAACAAAAAAATCACATTTAGAAATAGACTAAATTATTTTTTTAAACACTACAGTCTAGATTCCTAAAAACTATTGCGAGGACAAGTTACACTTGCCGGACGCATATCACAGGGCGGCTGAACAGGACAATCAACAGGTATGAGTTTGATTTAATTTTTTTCTTAATGACCTTAAAGTAACTATTAGGCCTTAATAATTCTATAGTTCCAAAAACTTATTATAAGTATAGTTGCTTTTTTAATATATCTCCTCTTTATAACTTCATAGTATTGTCGTGTTCACTCGCTACCAACAGTACCTAAGATTAGTTATGATTTCTCAGCGGTTCACTCATCATAAAAATATATGTTTGTATAAAGATAAATGTCTTTTTTTCTGTACGTTTGTCTCTCCCCGAATCAAGCCTGAACCTTGAGCAACAATTTGAGCTGTTGCGTAAAGTCAAGATGTTGGTTAACAGCCATTGATGATATACCCGTGGCAGCATGAAAAGGCAACATCACAGATTGATTGGCGTGCATCCAGTGCTGAGGGGGCAGGGGCAGAGCCGAAGCTGATGGGGGCTCGGTAAATTTACAGCCTGCATAATGGCCCGCTAACAGCCCTAATGGAGATCTTGGGCTGAGTTCAGCTCCTTTAACTGGAGACAGTCTTGATGGGGACTTGCACTGTGCTGGCGAGTCCTGGGGAGTGTACTTTGGGTATTTAGCAGTTTTCGCCTTAGCCTGGGAGACTATCTTGCCACCTACGTCGCTTCTCTTTGTCATCGCCATGATTACGTTTAGACAAGAGCGGAAATGTAAACAGATCGATGGCAGAACAAGCTTTAAAGTCCGCTGGTACCCTTTCTAAGTTGATATTTCGTTTATACTTTAAATTATCACAAGCCAGGGGCATGAATTTTGCGCTTAAAAACTCCAAGAAATACGGCGCAAATTTTGCTCTCACAAAATGGACGCAACTTGTAACCAAAACAAAGAACAATTCGTCACCGCCATATGCAATACCGTAATTACTATTTGGGACATTTATACTCCTCTATTCGTCCAAGCATTGGCACAAATATTCTACTTTCAACTCACCCACTGTCTGATTGCTTTTGAACGCAAAATTCACTAAATATCACCATTAAAACACCTTGGCTACACTTTCCAAATTCGCTTCACAACCATTTCTACTGAAAAACATATTCGAGTCACAATAAAAATACGTGAAACGTGAGGTACGTCACGACTACGTAACTAATCGATAAATACTTGTTTCGTAATTCTGACCAATCCTATATCTAGAAAACCCGAGAATTCAGCGAAAGCTACTCGGAAATACCCGAAGGTCACATGGTGGCGCCATCTCTTCAGATTTATATTAAACTCGATAAAGGATGGGCATAATATTCTGATGTAGAAAGACATTTATTATTTCCCGCTAGGGGCGATACTGAACCTAAATTTCGGTATACCTAATTTGTTTACCAATTACCAGAGATTCTGTATCGCTGGACCTTGCTCTGGACTTTCCTCCTCTTTTGGGCTTTGCCGAAAAATACACGTCAAATTTGTTTAAAGCACAAAAGAAAAATTAAATAGGACAAGTTTAGGATCTATACCGGATTTATTGCGTTAGCGCTTTGTAAAAAACACAAAACAATACATTTACAAATTCTTTCAACTGCTGGAAAAATTTTTTTCGCAAAAGGTTTGAACGTGTTGTCGTGAAAAGTGAACTAACGCTTCGTCCTACGTGGGCGACAAAAGCGGGCGATGCGAGCGACAAGTGTTTTTTCAAACACCCTTTTCTTCTGAAATCGTCCTGCGTCGGCAGCAGGACACCTTCATAAGCATAAATAACAGAGCTAATTCATAAGTTTCATTAAAAATATTAATTGTTTATAAGAAACTTATAAGAAAAGGTTTTTTGATAAGGTCACGTCGCTCGCATCGCCTGCTTTTGTCGCCCACGTAAGACGAAGCGTGAGTGGTGACAATTGGTGGTGACAATGTACCAAAGAAATAGAAGGGATACAATGTACCTATTCTCTGGGGCTGTCTGGGGGTGACTAAGTAAAGGTTTGGTAAAGGCGAATAAGATAGCCCAGACAGCTGTGGCCTTAAAGCCAAAGGCGTGCAAACGCCGATCCCTCATTTTAATACTAAACATGACTATACAGCACATTGATATCTATACAGGTGATTTCAAATAAATCACGATCAGCTGCCATTAATTTCCAGACACATCCCTGACGTTGCCTTTTTATTTGAGCACGCTGATAGCACGCTGTATATATTCGGCCAGGTGTGACTCCGCTCTAATATGTATATGTCTTTCTCTGTTCATTTCTTAAGTTATAGAGAGAGATAACCTATGGACTTTTTATTCTTAATCTAAGCTATGGACCAAGAATACACTTCAGCCTCGCCAAAACTCGCAAAAAAAGTGAGAATAGCAAACCATTTCTTTTCTGTGATTATACCTTTTTGTTGACTTTTCAGCATACCTACATCTTTTCAGAAAGATGACAATCGAAGGAAAGTCATTTCAAAAATGAAAAAAAAAATGCGCAGTAGATCCACCAATGAGATGTTGAATCAATTGCTAAATCTCACGTGTTGTGTTCTTTGTTTACAAATATCATAATTTCGTAACGATTGATCAAAATAGATGAGGTATTTTGAATAGCCGTTCAGTTGGACTCGTGTGTAATTTGTTTTTTAATCAAACATTTCAATTATGTTTGTTATTACTCCAGTAAAAAATTATATCAGCAAATTTTTCGCAACTGCGCCTAAAGCAATTCCTGCTGCTGAGATAGGGCTGATGGATGTATATTTAGAAGAAATACTTAAAATTTTAAGTTGGAATGACCCACATTCAACATTAAAAGCATTTTGTGTCTTCAACATTTTTGCCCTGTAAGTTGTTATTTATTTTGTAATTATTGGTACAAAAAGGCAATGTCATTATTTATTTTTAGAACAGTCTTAACCTTTGATATAAAGTTTTATGGAATATTCTTTCTGGTTCTTAGTTTTATTTTTGTTTACGACACCAGATGTAGGGAACAGTTATACGCAGAGTATAAAGGAGAATATGCCTATCTTGTTAAAGAAATTAAGAACGGAATTTCTAAAATAACTGACATGCTGCAATGTTTACACAGAGACAGCCCCGTAATGGTATAAAGTTGTTTTATTCATAAAACAATATATAATTTACTAAAATAATTTCTTTCAGTTCACATGCTTCATGGTGCTATTTTTTCTTACAATGCGAATAATTTCATTAAGTATGTCTGGAATTACCTTGTGTATGGTGCTATTGTTTATGCCCTTTTGTATACCTAAGGGCATTCAACTCCTTCCTGAAGATACAACTGAAAAATTAAAATACTTCTTAAATAGTTTAAGCACGCCTAAAAGTAATTATTATTATTACTATACGTGTCTTTTAAAAGATTGTAATAAGTTTAGTTTTAGATGTTTTAGCAGAGGATGAATTAATTCCCTTCATACAAGGAAAAGATTTTTCAAGACGTGAAGCTGATCTGGAAAGTTTACTAACAGACCGTACTGCAGGTGAGACTTTTTATATTTAAAATATATTCCTTCACTATAAATAGTTACATATTTATGTAATATTACAATTTTAGACTCAGTTACAAACAGTTTTGTAAGTGGGATTACTGCAATGCCATCATATATGGAGATTGCTGGAACAGAAAAAGATCTGGAAGAAGAAGATTTAATACCAAACCGTTCTTCACATAATAAGATGTTAAAAAGTGAATTATCTAGCGATTCTGAATCAGATAACAAGGATATACAATTCGACTCTGATCATTTCAATACCAGTTCATCAGAAGAAGAGCATTTTTCTAAGGGCCTTGCATTTCCCAAAGAACAGAAAGAAACCGAAGGTTTGGAGAAAATAATCAGCAGCGTCATGTCGTCTGTAAGTGAAAATGTTCTTGCAAATATCTTATATTCTGGAATCGGTAGAGAAAAACAACCGGCAAAGAAAGTGCGCAATAGTGAAAGTGATGATAGTAGTGATTTTGAAATTATTGATTATGTTTCTAGTGAAGATGATTAATAATATATCCTATTAATTTACTTTAGGATTTCAGTATACTCACAACTTAAAAAAGGATTTTATTTTTTATTTAAGCAATAAATAAACCTAAATAATGTGAATAGAGGAATATTTTTGATTGAAACCTTTAGTTTAGTGATGCACTTGTAGACATTTAAAGGACTTATTTATTGATATCTGATGCTAATAGCTTTAAGAATAAATATATAGTTTTAGCCATGTGGGGTTTTATTTTTATTAAACATAAAATTTATTTTTATATAAATAATTTACTATTTACTTGCTTTACATTCACAAACATAAAGTTTTATGTAGATATTGGTTCCTGTGAAGCTTTCTCAGTTTTATTGATTAATAAAACATCTTTTCTCTTTGGAAGATTTATTTCAATGGCTTCTTTAAATGATTTTCCTTCACTAACCCTCAAAAGTATCTCAAATACTAGAATTAAATGTTAAGGTTATTAATAAAAGTGTTTTCAGATCTTTGAGTCACTCTGTATATTTCATAAACAGTACCTTGATTGATAGTTAAAACTTTTCTTTGTTTTAATTTAAAGTATTCTCCAATTGGTAACTGACCATGTGATATACCTTCCTCTACGGCCTTTTTATAACATATTCCCTAAAAATTATATTTATTATATTCTTTAAAATAATAGGTACCAAAATTCTATTTACCTTATGTGCATTGTGGTCAACTAACCCACCGATAATATAAACTTTGTCATCTTCTAACTTTTGAATTACATTCGTACTATCACTGGTCAAATAAATCAATCGATCTTTGGGAAAGATATCCATGTAATGACTTTCATGAAAGTTTACATCCCATTTTTCCGATCCACCGTGTTTCCGTATGACCTCTTTATTTTTGCCAACGAATGTGGTTAAATGAAGTTGCATAGGTGCTTTAGCCCTTCTGTTTTCTGCGTAAATTCTAATAACTTGCTTGATAGCTTTGTTCATATCCTAAAACCCTAAATGACCAATACATTCGTTTATAAAGAAGCTCTTACTTTGCGCCACCTTGTCTGTCATTAAATCCGACCAACTTAAATCTATACATATTGAAATCTTACAGGGACTCTTATCCATTGTATTTTTTAATAATAATGGTTTGTTGTCGGTGATTTTAATATTATGAAGTCGGGCATACTCTTTTTTTGCTTTTAATTTCTCCTTTTGTTTAGCTCTTCTTTCTTTCTTATTTTCCTCCCATTTAAGATATTTCTTATATTTCTTCGTCTGCCGTTTAGTTAGTTTAGATATTTCAATACCATTAAACAATTCAACATGTGGTAAATTGGTTAATTCAACTTCCTTAGCTTCGGTTTGAGCTGGTGCAATTTCCCCGGATTCACTATGGGTATTTGCTATATTTTCTGTATTTTCAGACATCCTTAAGAAGATATTATTGCATAATTTTTACTTTCAAATCAATATGTTAGAATAATTTTGAAAAATTGTAATATTTAAACCAACTTAACCTCAAACTTCGTGTCATTCACAAGTCAAAATTAAAACGTCAAAATTCAAAATAAAAACAATACATAATTTATTAAAGGAACTTATCAATTAACACATATTATGGAAAAGGCATAACTTAAATATACATTAGGGATTATTTTGGTCCTGATAATTTTTGTAGACTATTTCCAAGGCAGTTGTAATCGTTCGTACATCTCCTTCAATTATTTTGGCCCAATTTTCAACATCACCCAATTCTTTTAGAGCACCACTAAATGAATCTACCAAATTTAACCATTGCTGGGTTTGCTTAGAAAAAGCTAATGCGCTGGAATGAAGCTGCTTTGCCTCTGCATCTAATTTCTTTTGGTTGAGATAGGCCTGAGCGACTCTAAAACAAGAAATTTATTAATTTTTACAACTGTATACAGGTAAAAATTATAAGTTTACCCAACGTTCAGATGATCAACTAAGGCATGGGTCAAATCACTAGCTGCAGCACAAGCTTCCTTTCGTTTAGTTTCTGAATTAATGGCAAGTTATTAATATTTTATTAAACAATAAACGGGTGTGTAGCTCAGCTTAACAAAACGTACCTTGTATTTCTTTTTTGACGCTCTGTTTTGCATGATGTTCTTTTACCATAGACGATAACATGGTAATGATTAAAACGTATTAGAAAATGCTTTTTTAGATTTTAGATAACTATAAAATAAACAGATATCACCACAATCAAAACAAAAATATTGATCTCTTATCTCCGGCTCTCGGTGTCCTTTAAATTTTAAACACAGATTTTAAATTGTTTTAAATGTGTCAATCTGGTTAGGAATGGCATGAATTTATCGATATAATAAATATATCGATATATACTCGGGTCCAGACAGGGACGGGAAGAAAAACTGGTTTTCGACGTGTAAAAAACAATTTTTTGAAAACAAGAATACTTTCATTTCCTGTGATTTTTTATAGTAATTTATTTCCATATATGTTTGGCATTAGGTAATTTTTTTCTCTCTATATTTCCCAAAAAGTTATCATCTAATAATTCAGTTTCAAAATATTATTGTATCGATATATTTTTATACTTCTCATCCTTACAACTTCCCATCATTTTGCAATCTAAATTTCAAGGTAAAATCTGTGTTTTTTGGGTTGCGTAAATTTTTCATAAACATGGCAAGCTTTGTAGGTGATGCCACGTTCAGTTGCAATTTTTTTTTATTTTTCCTCAGTTTTTTGAATATTAAATATGTTTTATCTACATCTCCTACAGCACCGTGGTACGAAGACCTTCCAGCCGTTGCAATGGATTACAAGGTCCATATAGACCCAGGAAAAGAGGACTGTTACTTTCAATATGTTAATCCTGGAGCTACTTTTTATGCCAGCTTTCAGGTATTTCAGTTTCTTTTAAGGTAATACAGTTTTAGCTACTTCCATTTAACGTGATTAGGTAGTACGTGGTGGTGATGGTATGGCCGGATTTGCTGTTAGAAATCCTCAGGGCCAAATAGTTCATCCTTATCAATGGAAGTCCAATAGTGAATATCAAGAGCAAGTTGTTGGTGAAGGAGGCTACTACTCTGTATGTATCGACAATCAGTTCTCCAAGTTTGCAGGCAAGCTGGTAAATATCTATTTAACAGTTGTTCGATATGACTTGTGGGAGAAATACACCAAGGAAGTTGAGGAATTGAATATGAATATGGAAAACTTTACGGTAGTGACACATAAAAGAGGCTTATATGAATTTAATTTAATAAATACATACTTTTTAGGCTTCAATTACTGATGTTGAAAAGAATATCAATCATATGTTGCAGTACCAACATCATACAAGGGGCAGAGAGGCTTGGGATATGAACTTGTTAGAAGCTAACAACAAATATGTGGTACGTTGGTCTTTAATTCAAATTGTTGTAATAGCTGCTGCTACTGTTGTTCAAGTTTATTTTGTAAGAAAATTGTTTGACATTAAGACCGGAAGTGGTTATAGTAAATCTCGTATATAAATTCACTTTTCTAAAGAGTTTTTCTGAAAAAAAAAACTGATCTATTGAAAGACAAGTTTGGGTATACCCAAGTCTGTAAGACATTTGAATATATATTTTATTAAAATATTTATACATTGTTAAGGTTAAAACAGAAATTTATTTTCATATATTTACCTACATTATATTTATATTAAGTTGGGTTTTTAGCTAAAATCTTTAGAAATTGGCAATGACTGATACAAATGTAGTTTTGCCTGTATTATTAATAATCTGTGATTGACTCTCTCTGCATTTAAAGGTTTTATTTCCATTTTTAAAATGAAATATTAATATTTGTGAGCAAATAAGAGACTTTTTGATACTAACAATAATTTTTATTTTTATTTTTTAATAAATTTTAATACAAATCTAGAACGTTATTTTAATTTTCAACATCAATCAGACAAATCAGACATACAATACCAAAAATAGCAAAAAGGGGGTTTGGAGTAGGGTTGCCAACTGTCCTCTAATTCAGGGTGCATCCACATTATCCTAGAAAACGCGAATCGGCGTAACCACCTTGAAACAATTTCCGGTAATTCTGTTGGCTGAAATTTTTGACAGATGAATTTGACAGATTAAATTTTTGATAGATGAATTTTTCAGCCAATAGAATTACTGGAAATTGTTTCAAGGTCGTTACGCCGATACGCCGATTTTCTAGGATAGTGTGGATGCACCCTCAGAGGACAGTCCTCTTTTTTATCTCACTGTCCTCTTTTCTCTCGTGTATTAAAAATGTCCGCTTTTTCACAAACCAAACTCAAAATCTAAAAAATATTTGTCTATCGCCACAATGCTTGAAAAAATTGTTAATCTGTGTCTTTCACTACTCCCACTTGTTTGTACAGAAAAGAAAATGAAGAAAGATTTACGCACAAGAAATATTTGTGGAAGCGACAAACATGTTTAACTATTTAATGTTTACTTACTGTTAGCTTATGTTTCGAAAAAAAAGTTTTGTTGAAAATGTTTTTTTTATTTCAACAAGTTTTGAGTAAAAATATTTTTAAGAAAGTAAGAAAGATCATCAATCGCATACTGTTGACATAACTTTTTGGTAAATTCTAGACATTTTGGCGAGGTTTCAAAAAATGTTTGCTTGTGCCTCTTTTTTACCCTCCCGTCCTCTATTATTTGTTTTGAAAGTTGGCAACCCTAGTTTGCAGTTTTTGCTAGTTTTTGTGTGATTTGTAACCCTCAAAATGAAAGAAATTATGAACTTGCTTTTTTACTCACCCGGTATGTATATAGGCAGTCTATAAAAACATTAATCTAATAATGTTTGATGTTTCATTATTTCTATGCCTATACTGTGATGTCTTTTTCATGTGGTCACATGCTGTATTGGGAAAGGAAAATATTTTTTTTATATAAAATGTTTATTTTTCAATATAAAATATTATATATACATACATTTGACACTTGAAGTGTAATAATAAGAAAATATAATAATAGAATGTACAATATATCAGTTCCTTCATTCTCCTATACAAAAATCATATAAATATATAAAATTTTGACTATTTCGACTTGAGATAATTTTCGGAAAAGGCCAAAAATTTGTGACGTTGTCTTAAGTTTCTTGCTCTGACGTGTATGTTGGCTATTTCGACTGTGTGATTGGCGGGGAACCACCCCATTTGACCATTACGAATCTTCTCACCATGGTACCAACCTAATCAACAAAAAACGAAAACATAAATATCGTGTAAATATAATGTTTAACGTTTACAATGTTGATGTATTTTTTTTTTGTAATTGTGTAAATTAAACCTACAGAAAAGTCACCATTCAGTAGTTACAGTCACTTGCACAAATATTTGCTTGCAAAAAAGTGCATTAAAGCAGTTTTACTTTATTAAATTACACCAAAAATGTATTTTTTGAGGCATTTTAAAAGTGAGAGTATCAAAGATTCAAAGTGTGCATATTGTACAGAATATCCTTAATTTTTTTCATTCAAGTTTATATTGAAAAAAACTAGGGATGAAGTTTAACATATTATCTACTTGAAATTGATAAAAACGGAACTATCTCAATAATTTAGGAACGTACTTAAAATTTTCTGAACAGTATGAACCTCAGTATGAACTGACCTCAGACACATCCTAAAACGTATACCGATTTGGTCATTGTAACTGCGTGGTTAGGTTAGGTTAGGTTAGGTTGGATTTTAACGTGTAAGACAGTGATGTAGACAGCTTAAATGAAAAATCAAATGTATTAAAAAGAGATAAAAGTTGGGTTGATACTATTATTAGATTTCCACTACGCGGTGTTGCCGGATTTTGCATCAAAACTTCAAACCGCACAACTAGGCGTTTGCGAAAAATGTTCATCTAGTTGGAATTTTATTTTTCACAATTAGTTACTCGTTTTACTACAACTGTAATAGATTATATTTAACATATATATATATATATATATATATATATATATATATATATATATATATATATATATATATATATATATATATATATATATATATATATATATATATATATATATATATATATATATATATATATATTTATTTTTTTTTTATAGTTTTAGTAGTATATATGAAAGTTGTTTAAATAGTTTATTTTAAAAATTATTAATAATTATTAATACTTCTACACACGTAAAAACCGTGAACACTGTATGTCGCTTTTTATATTGTCTCTCTGTCTGTCACCCGGTCATTTATATTTATCTCTATCGCCTGCATTAAAATAGAGACCACGCAGATGAAGTGTCCAGTATGCTATTTAACAAATGATGATGACATAACGTTTTTGAACGATCACTAAACGTGTTTTACACTAAACTTTTAATGATTTTTCCTATAAATTGTATACCTACCGTCAGCTAATTTTCGGAGAACGTTAATGACATCCCCTTTGGTTAGTGACAGTTCGTCGGGCTGAGTGGCAGTGTAATTGTGAACTGCGGATACCTGAGGGCAATCCCACACCTCGTACAACGTTTCTTCGGGATCTTGAGACTTTGGTGGAGTTAGCGCTTCAATCCATCTTTCCTTGTCGCTTTCCGAGTTACAGGATAGTAACTGGAATATTATGAGATAAAAAATTAGCTAAATTTTCGCAATTATGGGCTAAAACTTAGCCTAGGCCTAGGCTTGGTGCATTTTAACCGATTTTTAAAATTCCGATATCAGCGCTCGTACGGCAGAAATCAGAACTGTCCAAATCAGTTTATTTCACTCCGTCACGGTTACCCAGACATTACCAGTCATGTTCATCTCATTGAAATAATATTGAAATAGTGGTTATGTCATATGTCATAAATTTCAAATGGTAGTGAAATTGGAAAAAATGTCAACACGAAAAAGGGGGAATTGCGTGTAGGGTTCAGAACCGGGAAATCCCAAAACAGCTCCGGTTCCGGAAACCCTAATTGCGTGGTTGTTGGGTACAATAGCACTCTCCCGGGACAACATTTTACAGCTTTCCAACATAATCACACCAATCTGATTTACAGCAAAAATGTATTCAGGCAGTTCGACGCAGTGGTGGATACAGGGGGAGGGCCCATGGAGCCCCCCCCCCTAAAGCCTGTGAATTGTGTAAAATATTAGGCTTTTGGGTTAAAAATGGCACCCTAAAAAGCATATCTTACATTGCTTTTCATTTTGCCCCCCCCCTAAAATAATTCCTGTATCCGCCCCTGGTTCGACGAAACAAGTGAGCAAACAAAGTGCCCAATACAATTTAATCAATATTAGTGGTATACTTCTTTTTAATAAACTAGTGCTTAAATTTTTTTATGAACGTCTTCTAAAATAGTAATGATGTACCTTTAAAAAAGTTCGTTACAACCCAGATAGCAAAACCGGTGCGTATAACTACACAAAACTATACTCGCTACATTAGTTGAATCAGGCGGCGCCGGCGTGTTATTTAACTCGGTTGTTTACGGGATTTTCCGATGGTGGCAGCACTAGCGGAGAATGCCCCAAGCCTATAAACACTGTAAAATATTTTATACTTACAAATTCGACAGATTTTCCGTTTTGGTTTTCTAAAACAGTCAGCAAAAGCATGTTCTTCCCTTGAGTATCTTTTAGCGGAGCTAATAACTCTGACGTATTTAATTCTACTAAGTTTCTTGGGCAGTAGTGCATGACGTTGTAACTATTTTCGCTAGAAAGCAAGTAATTTTTTGTCAATAAAATCTTCAGCGTTGAAAAATGATTGTTTTAGATTTTTAAATAAAATATGTGTAACTACATAGTGTAGATGGCATTCAAAATTAAGAAGTACAATATGTTTGAAAAAAAAAACGGTATCAGCGATGGCTATGACATGAAGATCGCTATCATTTTATATGCAAAATTATATGGCGAATCGAACGCCACTTCTAAAGGCCGTAAGTGGGAATGAAAATTTTAGATTTTTGTCTGAATCACTTTATTCTAATTTCAATTAAATATTATTCATGTTTGGACGCCTCTATGTGTACTTATTTCTCTGAGATTCATACCAAATTAAAGTACCCAAATAAAAATTTTCATAAAAAATTGCGCTTACGCAAAATTGTTCATTATTTCAATTTATTTTGTTTATTTTATAACGACAAAAATATACATATACACACTATGAACGAAAAAAAACTGTCACAGTAGTCTTTGAAATAATAAATAAGGATAATTTTTCTTGGGCCACAACCTCTATAAATGTTATTTAATAAAAATTAACATAAAAATTAATATTTAACTTAGAAAAAAGTAAAAAATTGTGTCTGATTTTCATTTAAAAGGCTACCGTGATGCGGTTTTTTTTCGATTGTATGATATAATCTTACCTTTTTTCTTTGCTCACAATGAGAAGATCGTTGAACAAAAACAGGTGGACGGTGCTTTTAACGCATCTCTTACCAAATGTCAATTTGGTATCTTCGTTACGCGTTTGGATATGAGTAACGGGTCCACAACGTACCAAGTACCTTTCCGTTATGAAAATGGGGGTTATTGGCACGTTTTGAGGAAACTCTAGCTGTCTGGATATTTTTTTCAGTTCGGTTTCGCGTTCTTTGTTCCTTGCCGCTTCGTTACACTGGCTAACAATCTAAAAGTTAAATAAATAGTATATATTAAATAAATAGTATATATATAAATACCGACCTCGAAAGTATTAATAATAATATCAAATTTATTTGCCATAATCAGTGTTTAACTGCTATTAATCATGTAGAAAGTAAAAAAAATAAAAACTAAATCTAAACTCATGGTACTTGTTCAACCAAAACGGTACGAAAAATGCTGAAAATGTTATATTTTTCTTGACATTTTCCGGCAAATTTTAAAAAACTTTTTAGTGCCACTTGTTTATTCGCCTGATATTTCTCTGCGGTGTATCTAAACCGTGCAGTGTTGCCACTTTCTACATTATCCATATTCGACATATTATTTGTATTCACTTTAATTTTAAATTTGTACACAACAAACCAAACCAAACCAAAACAATTACGAGTATTAATTCTAATCATATCAGTGTCTATAATAGCACAGATCATACAGATTATAAACTCATCGTCAGAAGCATTGTTTTTCGTGGTTCCAATTTTTGGAGTCGCGCACTAGTTAGGTTACTAGTTCGCGCACAAGCACGCCCACTTATGGCCTCTAAAATTGTGCACAGCGCCTGACCGGCCCAGTTATTACGCTGTTTAAACGGGAGTTTATTTTTGTGCACAAGAAAATTTGCTCATAGTCGTAAAAAACAATTTTCGTACCACGAATTAGGGACAAGATTTTTATCTGTATATTTATAGACATATTTATACATTATACTCTGTGATAATAGACACTGATACAATAGTAATAGACAGTCTATTACTAACAATTCTAGACACAAACCACATTAATTATTTTTACGCATACCAAATTTTTATATTTATTTTTAACTATACTTAAAAAATAACTCTTAACATTCCCATATTACGAACTAATTTTAACAAAAAAACTGGGTAAAATTATTCTTATGAGGTTTACGAAAATCACGGTTATACCGCAAAATAACTTTATTTAGAACTAAATGTATTAAAATAATTCACCATATTATTCAGTATCAAAACCAAACCTGTTTATCGGAATTTGCTATTCGGAACATCGACAAAATCAGACAAATAAACCGTATATGAACGACACACAACAACTCATTCCAGGGATTTCAGATTTCACTCATTATAGCATATTATTCTTCTTTTGACTATCTGGCAACACAGGGCGTCGAATAAGCTGAAAAACCTCGTGAAAACTCTTAATAGCCGGTAATTGCCAGCGGTTCTCAAAATGTTGCCATTATAATTCTTTTTAATTTTCAAAGTTAAATAACTCGGTTATTTTTAATTTATTTTAAAAATGGTAAAGAGGAAAGATGTTTCTTTTGACTGTCACTTATTTCTAGGGCACCCTGCATATTCAGATAATTTTAGAACTACATATTATACCTTATTAACAGCTACCATAGCATAATGACAGGCGAAATACTCCGGATCTTGTTGGGGTAACCTTTTTAACACAGCTTCAACTAGTAGAGGCCAGCGAGTGATTCTTTGCATTGGTAACATTAAAAACGAGTATAGAGTTAAAGACTGACACACTTCGCTCAGTTCTAAATGACTGAGAAATTCCGAAAATCCAAGACGATCCCTAAAGAGAAGAAAAAATAAATTTTAAACGTTTTATTCCAGAAATTGGGAAAGTTAGGAATTTCCAATTTCTTACTTTAATACTTTCAGGACTTCATCAAATAATACTTGATTCTCACAATACTGAATGTACACATTGAAATTCTCTTCGGCATGTTTTTGAACAATATCACAAATGCCATACAGCAAAATATTGTCTTGCCAGCATTTTTCTATGTCGTGAAGTAATTTTTCCGAAGAACTTCGCACTAAAATTTAAGAAAAAAACTTTTTATTTTTTTTCTACAGGGTGTGAAGAAAATATATACCGCTTTCAACATGGCCGAATAAAATATCTTTTTCTTGGGCAGTGAGTAGATTCGTAGTACTTAAATTTTTGATAAAATGACTAGTAAGAACGTTGAGTGAGTTCAGATATGACGCTTCTGAGGTGAGTATCTCGAATTTGGCTTCTTGGAGTTTTTTCTGCGGTACACTGAGACTACCTAAAAAAATCAACAAAATACATTTAAAAAAAATTAAATTCTTTCATATACCGAGTGTTTCAAATTAGATTCTTACCAATGGGATCTCGGAAACAGTAAGAGATACAGGATACTCGGAGCAAAATTGGCTACTTATCTTTGTCATTTGATATTTTTAGGGACCTGGATTTTTTAATTTCCTTTTTGAAAGGCTTATGATCTTCCCAATGCCATTATGTATCTTGTTTTGTACACACCATCCCTATACCCACCTCTTTCCAACATATTGCTTTTTATGGAATAATTGTTTTTTCCCGCGACTTCGTTCGCGTAAAATTTGAATTTTATTAATATAAAGTGTAATGTTATTTATTATAGCACCTAGTGGCAATATTTGAAAGTACATATTACATGTGTCTAGTTGTAATTGATAGTCTATGAATAAAGATAGCCGTTTGAGAGAGTTTAACAGAACCGTGCGTCTTTTTTGAATATTATCGTTATATTTTGGACAATTCACACAATATCTTTATAAATTATAGCCTATGTATTATTCTGACGTATAAGCTATATTATTGTAAAGTTTCATTAAAATCCATTCAGTATATAGTTTTTGTGCGTGAAAGAGTAAGAAACATACATACAAACCATACATACAAACTTTCACGCTTATTATTTGTAAGGATTCTTTAGATTGTTTGGGCAAGTGTGCTACAACTGTTTTAGGGAGGCAATCAGCATCTAAAAAGGAAGTAAAAAACGCATTTCCGTATTTAAAAAAATAAAGTTGATGGTGGTTCCAGAAAAACGAAACGTCGTAAGTGAGTTTTGACGTGTTTGACACCAACACACGGGTTTCGACACCAAAGATTGAAACTAAAGCAGGTTCTTTGAGGATATATTTATAAATTTTTTTCTAACTGTCAAAATAAACTCGTAAAAAATAAAAACGAGAACCGGCAGAGCTATATGGAGGGTTCAGTCTCCAAGTTGCTAGACTTTTTGAAAAGGATAGGACTGGAGAATGTAACATAAGGGATCAAAAGAGCACCATAACCATAGATATGAAACGTTTCGAATGGAATAGACCGAGAGCCAGCTCGAAGAACCTAATCTAATCCACTGTTTTCAAGATCCCAATAGCGAGAACCTAAGTTGAAACACCTGGTACAGGGTTTTTCTTTGAAGATTTTACTTTTAGAAACATGTTTAAAAAATAAAAAGTATATGTTGTAACACAGAAGAATTATGCAACGAAGAATTATGCAAATGTTTATCAATAAAAGTTTTATCAAACTCTGTTTAAAATTGGCGCCCAACGTGGGACGCCAATTTATAACGGGGTTTTGTTATGGGTGTTTCAGGTCTTAAAACTCGAAGTTTGATTAAAACTAACATTTTTATTAACAAAGATTGACGTTACAAAACGTATTTCACTTAACTGTCTCTCTCTCCGAATAATGGAGTCGTCCAAGGAGAGGCGTTTCATAATTCTTCTGTGTTACAATGTTTAGTTTATCATATTATTTTGAGAATAAAATTTACTTACTTAAGACTGTCGAATTAATAACTTCCGGTATTTCGCACCACAGTGTTTTATTAAAACAAACAGAATTCCGTTTAGGAGACACTAATTCCATTGCCGAAGGCCTCAATTTGTTCTGGTTGGCAATATCTTTGTCAATTACGTCTTCGTAATTGTCAGAATCAAAGTCGGACATGGTATCGTAGCTGACTGACTACAAAAATAAAAAAAAAGAGCGTTAATTTCGTAGAGTTATAAAACTAACTGTTTTGATTTCTACCTCTTGAATGGCTGCATCGTAGAATTGATACAGTGGCTCGTCCTGTAACCTGAGTTGGATTTCTTGTTTAAGAGATTCATCGTTTTTGGTGTCGGTGCTGTTATTGCTTCCAGCATAGTAAATGTTGTCGTTTTTCATGTTGTTTACTGTCTCTTGGTCGTCCTGGTTTATGAAATCGGACGATTTTAGAACTGGTCTCGATATTTCCAAAGCTAAAACAAAATATAAGTGTCAAAAATCTGAATATAGCACCCAAAAAATAATAATTTAATTTAACTAAAATATTTTACATATATAAGACTCTGCCTTAAGACAGACAGAAGACAGAGAACTGAGTCTAGACGCTCTTCCGCTTTACCCGACACGCAAAACTGACAGGTAAAACGTTATGTGTAGGCCCCGTCAAAGTTCTTTGGGTAGCATGGGTTGTACTTACGTTTTATGGGAGTGCTGAGATTACTGCCACTATTCTCTGAAGAGCTGGTGCTCGCCGCTGAACTGGCTTGCAGCTCATATAACCCAACTTCTGCATACCAATAGGTGTTTGGTCTCTTATTGGATGAGCGACTCGTGTCTCTAAAAAGGCCACTTTCTGCATACCAAGAGGAAGTCTTTCCTGTACGAGCTGGATTAGGTTCTAGAAATAAATATTAATAGGTAAGATAACTCAGCAATTTTTTAATAACTCTTAAATTATTTAGTTCTTACTGAATTAATATAAGCTTAGGTCGTCTTAGTTACGCTAACCATAAATAGAGTCATAACTCCCTTGGGACATTATTAACGGGAATTAGATGCCATAATTCCCTCTACTACCTTTTATAGGTAACAACCATGAAATACAATAGAGCTTTTGAGTAATAATGTATGAAAATGGACACTCAGCTGTCAACTACTCTAATAATTTATTTACATCATTAATGTCACATGTAATAAATTTATAAGAGAACAATTTCATCAACATCCTCTGCTACAATATTTTTCTGCCCCAGCCACTGAAGGTATTTTTATATTCCTTTTGGTAAATGGATTCACTTTTAGGGTGTAAGTAACACTTGTCGTGCTTCTTCATCTTTTTTAATAGTTCCTCCATTTTAATGGAAACCCCAACGTGTGCCGAATTCGTGCAAAATGCGTTTTTTTTGACAAAAATTTAACTCGATTGACGACAACCGTCGATTTATAAATAGGTAATTTAATACAATACTTATTAACAAACAAATTTCCTACCAGCAACGTTAATACAAATATACCGGAAGATTAATAGATGCAACATTTGTGTCGTTTTTAAATGGGACAAAATATACTAAATTCAGTAAGAAATAAAATTATCTATGTGTATTAATAACCTCGGCCTTATAATTCCCTTGATATATAAATAACTATAATGGTTGGTATATTATCATAGAAATATAGTAGAAGCCTCAAATCTTACCTGGACGGACACTAGGAGCTGGCGGCGGTGGACTATTGGGCCTAGTTATCGAAGATCTACTCTTCCTCATCACGGGCGACACCAGTTTTTCAGTACTAGACAAAATACTTTGCTCGGCGTCCATTTTGTCGATGTTAATCGTATCGGTGACATAGAACGTGCTCTTTGTTTTGTTCTCGGCCAGATTCGACGTCAATTCGTTGGCAGATTCGGCCGATAATGACATACTTCGCCGGAATTTCGTGAGGAACCCTGCCTTTCTGGTAAGGGTCTTGGATCGGTCGGCGTCCTCAGGTTGAGATTCTGCGTTTTTCGGAATATCCACGTTTTGGTATGAGAGTTCGTTTTTCGAGATGGAAGACCTGGTATCTGGTTCGTTGGTGGGTAGCCTGGATTTAGAATCTGATTTTTTATCATCTTTGGATGCTGAAATGAAGGAGTATTTTATTGTAAGTCTTATATTGCTTTTAAAAAATACACATTAACGGAATTTTATTAACATATACAGTATTTATTAGCCAAGTGAAATAAATTATTTTCTAAATAAACCAAAAATTGAATAACATATAGGGTGTTGAATTTGTTCTATATTTAGCTAAAACATATATGTATATGTTACGGTTAAGGCCCGATATTCGGTTAATATCGACATTAATATCGACATTAATCCGGTTAATCTCGAGAATAACACAAAACAAAACAGCCATAAACTAAACCAAACCCAAACATTAACCGGACATCGGTCTTTAGCCGTAACATATATACAACAGGGTGTTGAAAAATCGTAGCGACTTCCCTATTATACTTGGCCCCACGTTGGGCACCAAAGATAACAGAAAAGTGAAATTAAAGACACCGTAGTTCTTTCACACAACTATCTGTTAAAAATAATAAAATAAACCCGTATACAATATGATCGACAAAACAGGGCGTCAGTGATGGCTATGAAATGAAGATCGCTGTCATTTTATATGTAAAATTATATGGGGAATGTCATCGATAATCATTTCCAACCAACTGGATGCCGTTTTTTTCGATCGTACTTTTCATGCGATAGAAAATTTTTAAGGACATTCATAAGCGCATAAAGACAATGACAAGAGATACATGTATAACACGTATATTTTATTATTTTTAATAGATAGATGTGTGAAAGGGAACTAGGGTGTCTTTAATTTTACTTTCCTATTATAAAACATATTTTCTTAAAAGTTTTAAGACTCTGTAGCTTTAAAACTATGGATTTCCAAACCCATGTTTACAGGAACTTTTTTTCATATTTTGAGATGAGCAATCACCCAATGAAGTTTGGCAGTGCATTTTCAAATTATACCAAAAAAAAAAAAACATTTAGTGAACAGATTATGTTAAAAAGTCTGTATGATTTTGAATCCAGTGGCGTTACACATAATATGTATATTTTATTTTTTGAAGTATTTCCGTATATTTGCAGAAAAATTGCATAACTAAAATGTTGTCAATTAATATATTGTCCACTGACCTGTGCTATCGGTATCAGTCTTTGACATGTGCTTCTTCATGCGAGTGAGTGATTTGGATATGTCCCGTGTCCAATTCTGTTTCAGCTTTTTCATATGTCTCCCGGCGAACTTGATGAGACCGCTGCCTTGGCTGTTTGGTATATTAGGCAGCTGATGATTTCCGATGTCAATGCCGCTATCATCCTGTAAATACTGTACAATATACCGGGTGTTTTTCAAAAGTGGTTCACCTCTATAACTTTTTTTATTTTTCCAGATAAAGAAAACGAGATTTGGCATATTAGTTTATGACATAAATCAGGAACGATTGGCGTATTTAATCTTTTTTGGTCACTTCCTGTTTCACCGGAAATTACTATAATTTTGATTTTTAAATGGTAAAATGATATTCTGAATAGAATGACATATAATATGTAAATTTTTGACATTTTCGCTTAAAAATGCCAAGATCCCAAGAGTGTGGCTGTGTTCAAACCACTAATTTTTATTCAGGACCCTTGGAAAAATATATTTTAGACATAAAGACAGTTTAATGTTTTTCGTGGCATCTCGTGGCCAGTTAAAAGATGCTCCAATCATATTAACAAAAAAATTGGTACCACATACTTGGTATTTCCGAGTCAAATTGTCACAGCCATTGCACTCTAGAATAAAATTTAAAATATAATTTTTAAGCAAAAATGCCAAAAATTGACATACGAGTATGATATGTAATTTTACTCAGAATGTAACTTTCTTCAAATGGAGTAAAAAAATACCGAAGGGATGATTTAGAAATCAAAACTTGTATTCGTTTCCGGTGAAACAGGAAGTGACCGAAAGTAATTAAATACGTCAATCAATCCTGATTTATGTCATATATAGGGGTAAAGCACTTTTAAAAAACACCCGTTATATACGGCGATTCTTCCGTATTGATAAAAAAATTAAAGACCAATATCTGTGGTAAAAAGGGTAATTCAAAATGTCTGATGTACTGTGTTTATATTAAGTAATAAATAAAAATTATACTTACCACTGTATCTGCTCTATCGTATGACATTTCGGACTCGATGTCACTTTCGAACGAGTCATCTGAGTCGAAATCATCGAACTTTGCAGTATTCAACGTTTCGTAGTAATGATCGGTTTCTTCACCTGCAAAAGAACAGTGTTTGATCTGCTTAGAACGTACTCTAGTAAACAATACTTAATGCATTTTAAAACGTTTAGAGAAAGTGACCAGGTGCATATAACATTGAGACTTTAACTTTTATAGATGTTTATATAATTATAAAAGAAAGGAATAATCGTAAATACAGTAGTAGCCGTTCTAAGTACAATGTCATGGAGAAAATGTTTAAAAATATCTTTTGATTTCGTCTGTGTTTAGAAGATATTTGGTATGCAGGAAAGCTCATTTGCATCAAAAAATAGCATAATATGCAAATTAAACACCATAAATTTGTGGTGTCTGAAATAATAAATAAATAATAGTCTATGCAATATATTTCTACCTTGTTAATGATATTGCATAAATCAGCTACTTTCCATATATATTTAATCAAAATTAAATTATTGAAACGAGCGTTTTTCAGTTTAATAACATTAAGGTAAACAAATCAATCAGTGGTGCATCTAGAGATGGGGCCTGGGAGGGGTAGTGGCAGTATTTAAGTTTATAGTACTACTACTAGGTTTAAATTAGTGATGGGAACTATCGAATGAATTAGACTATCGAATGTTTAATGAATGAATGATTTCAACTATCGAATGGTTTTATTCGAATAAAATCATTCATTCATTTGTATACTAAAGCATATGTGACAACCTCGCCGTGCGACTAAATGGTTATCGTTGAGCCACGACTATCGAATGCTTTTGATAAATGAAATTTAGTATTCGTTTGATTTTTGTATGCGTCAGTGCATTATTAGTTCTTAAATTTTGATAACTTCGCCGTATAAATACTGTGCTATTTTTGCGTTTATTAAAATAGTTAAAATACTAAAATAGTAGTTACTTTTTAATTTTATTTATTGACGATTGTGTGCATGTGCAGGTGGTCAAAATTTTTCCGAAAATTTGCGTGGTTTTCCGTAGTCCGATCTTTCAATTATTTAATTTTATATGATATATGGCCTATTTTTTAATGGGAAATTTTGAGAAGTAACAATTTTTAAGAGAGATGAGATGAACTTACAATTAATTTTAAAAATACATATTTGTATTTTAGATGTTTTAATAATATGAATTAGTTGAACTTAATAATCATATTTAAGTAATATGGTTAAGTAAATGGCTATCGAACTCAAACTATGGGGTGATAAAATTAAAATGAAAGTTTTACACGTGCCAATTTAAAAAGAAAGTTAACGATGTTTGTATTTTGTTTATGCTAATTCTCTTACATGCAGTTTTTTGCGAAGAAATATTTCATTTATTTTTTAAAGTAAATACCAGTAAAAGTAAATATAATTTTTAAACAGTAATATAAAGCACCTAATATAAATAATTTTGATTTCTAATTTTTGATTTATATTTTTCTTCCATTACATTGTATGCTTAGAAAATTAATAAATGTTTATATTTCATGATTTTAAAATTTGTTGTTAATATAACAAATTAGTTCTGTAATTATTATTATTATTTAATAAACCAACGTTGCCCCCCAAAAAATTTAGAGACTATATTATTTTTAAATAGGATCTAATATAAATAATTTTGACATCTAATTTGTTGTTTATATTTTGCTACTACTTAAAAAAAAAATATTTATATTAAATGATTTTAAATTTTGTTGTTAATAGGTATAACAAATTATTACTGTTATTATTATTTATTAAACCAGTCTTTGCTTAAAAACATTAAAAATCATTTTCCTACATTCAAAATAACAAGTATTATTGCAGTGTAACAACAGAATATTAATAAAATGCAGAATATATAGACATATTATCCCTAACTAACTAAAGTCAAACAATAATATTCTTTGCTAACATCAACTAATACCAAAATATGGCAACAACGCCCTTCATAATGTATTTTCTGTATAAATACTAGCACCTCAATAAAAAAAATAATGTGTCCTTATCTATATCTGACTCCGCAAAAAATCAAAGATGCCGGCTTCTTTCATAGCATTGCCACCGACCGCTGTCGGGTTTCTCGGAAAGAAACCTACGTCGCCGTGCGACAACTAAAATTCAGTTAATATTTTATTATAATCGATCCTGACGAATAAATGAATTTCATAAATGAATGAATTTTATAAATGAATGGTTTTTGCTGCCGAATTACTAGAATACAATATTTCAAGGCAGATGACGGATCTACTCGATAATTTTTATTCGAATAGTTTTCAACGAATGTTTTCTTACTAACTATCGAATTATTCGAATGAATTGCAACTATCGAATGTTTCGATAGTATTCATTCGATACTTCCCACTACTAGTTTAAACTTTAAACTGTGCTTTAAATTAAAATTCCGCTGAAAGGTAGGAAAAAATAAACATGGATTGGTCTGGATTTTGACTGGTATTATTAATTTCTTTTGCGACAATTTTATTTTATACAGCATTTGAACTTACACATTTCCTACTGAGAGGAAACTTCCCCCTCCCATACAATCTACAAGCCTGCGCCATACAAACTCAAATTGGCTAATATATCTGCTGGTGTATGGGGGTCATCTATTAGCGGAAAAGTTTTGAGAAACGATGTTCAAACAATAATTTTTTTTTGTAATTGTAATTGGAATGTATTTTTGTTAATCTTGTAATAAATAAATAAATACAGGGTTTTTACAATCATGACTTGAGCACAAAAACGAAACTTGCAGTGTACCGAGCAATAAAAATCCCCACCATGTTATATGGAAGCGAAACCTGGGTGCAGTACCGCCGACACATCAACGCTTTAAACAAGTTGCAACAGAGACACCTTAGACAACTCTTGCTTAGACAACGGCAAGAGGAAACCGGCTGGACAACCCAAAACGTTCAAGGATATTTTCCACGAAAACTTAAAGGGAATAAACATGCAGAATGAATGGGAAGAAGCAGCGCACAATCGAACGAAATGGAACAGAATTGTAAACTCAGTTAACAACGACAACCAAACAGTAAAGAGACAATAAAGCAATGAGATTTTTGAATGTCCGGAGTGCGGAAGAGAGATAACATCACGTATCGGGCCTTTCAGTCACAGAAAAGCTCATGAAAGAAAACGCCTTGTGCAACCATCTACTGATTTGTGTCAAATCATAGATTTAGTAAGAACAGATATCACATGAGACATTTTAACCCGATCAAACAATCGGAGGTTGACTACGTACTGTAAAAACCAACTGAGATAGAGAAGGCGACATTGCCACATCTCAAATTTGCGCCTATCTACACAGTTTGAATTACAGAAAAGGTGACTTTAAAACCTTTACCGGATATCAATAAATCTCAATTTCTTAATTAAATTAATAGTTTATTTTTAAAGAAGCATGCGTAATAATATATTATTAACCAGAGGATATATGCGTTACTATTAAAGGACATGTTTACTGTTTAATGTGCTGAAACGTCTAGAACTATTGGCAACGTCGCTGCTAGTCTTTCAGAATGAAATGAGCCGTCCGTCCCACCACCCCTCGCGACGGCCCTTGGTCAGGGTTCGGAAGTAGTTAATTAAGACGTAATTTACCTGATTAACTACGTGTAGTTTTTCTTCAAAAACTACGTCTTTTCCCGTTCATTATCTACATGAAAACTACGTTAATAAACTATGTATTGATATTATGAATAATTTTCCTTTGTATGAGGTGTTATAGAGATAATATGATGTAAATATTATATTTAAAGCCATATTTCTTCTGTTTTCTTAAATTCATTATGTGTTTTAAAGCTTCAACTTGTTATAACCTCACCTCAAACCTTTGATATTTGACATAGGTTACATAAACTACACCCTCTACATAAACTACATTAACTACATGTAATGTAGTTTATGTAGTTTTTAAAAGTAACATGTAGTTTTCCGAACCCTGCCTTGGTCCGTTATAGCGTACTACGTTTAGCTTGCGGTGTGTTTCAAGTCGGAATCAAGACAAAAGTGAACTTTTCAGTGTTTTTCGGTGGTTTTTGTTTTTGTTTAACGTACTTTTGAATCTGCGAATTCAGTACGGTACGACAGTGTCAACTGTGTGGAAAAATAAGCTCAAATTACCCGAATTTGTCTTTTCACAGGTGGGTATTGTTTTCACATTTTATATTTCCGTCGTCATTGTACATAGGCGTCCCACAAGGAGCCTCTCACAATCAAAATAATTTCTAATTATATTTGTAATTAATATATTAAAACAAGAACGTAGTAGCCGGTAATTGAATTATAATTCGTCTCAATTAGTACCGAACTGTGGTAGATCATAACAAATTTGAATATAAACGTTGCATGAAATTTAATTATAAGCCAGAGAGTGACATTTTTTTTCTTAAAATTGTGTCATTTTTGGTCATTATATACGATATTCTAAAGGAATTTTGCTCAACAAATAAACAAAGGTGTTACCCGACCTTTTTTACATTTTATCTGCCCCTTCGGCCTGGTTTAGACAATTTTTTACCACTGTACAAATACCTCTTCCTAGAGTTATTTGTACGGTGTGTTTACCTTTTTTTTTAGAATGGGACGAACTGTAAGTAATTCTTAGGCTACTAGTTTTATACATACCTATATACAGAGTGACCCAGGCCTCCAAAAAAGCTTTTTACCTATTGCTGCTCTCGCCATCTAGCACTCGCCAAGTAGTACGTTTTGTACTCAAATGCTATTTTCTGCTTTTCGTTTGTCGGATTGAGGAGTACAGCAAAGTCGGCCTGCCGATGGAGATAAATCTCCGAAACCGGCCGTCGAATGACTGTTCCCTTCAGTTTGATGAACTTAATGCCGAGAATAAGCATATATGTAGGGGTTAGGCCTTAATATTTTTTTTGCTTCTTGTATTTTGTTTATTTATACAAACCCTACCAAGCTTTGAGCTCCATCTACGGTAACGTAGATGAAGCAAACGTAATATTCATTATTATGCGATAAAAATCCCATACTGTAGCACACAGATTTGATACTTTTAATGATAAATGCCTTCTACTGAGAGACTAAAAGGTA